AAATGAATGATGCGAGTAACAGAATAAACCGAAGCCATCTTCTAATGAGGGAAATTCCATGATTATTGGTCATCACGTGACCGATCAGTAAATCTTGACTCTAAAATATTCCCACATTCCCCTACAATTAACCAGCATTGTTTTGTGTAATAAAGCGGGATTTACATAAATATTCATTTATGTTTGTTGATGTAAATATTATTGGGGTGGGTCATATTTCCAGCTTAACACTAGAGGGCTAGTACTGTGTCAGGAATTGTTGGTTCCCAGCTTTTTCAGCTCCGCTGTCGATTTTGTCGAGCGGAACTTATGACCATATGAGTGATTGTCCGTTGTCGTCCATGTCAACTTTTTTACTTCTCGACTTCTTCTTGAAAATAACAATTCTTATTGCTTTGATACTTGGTTTACCTTTGGCAGACCTCTCTTAGATTTGTTCATTTCGTGATATCATTAATTCTCTAATTTTGATGAATATTTTTGTCGTTTTTGGTAAAATGTTATATTTTCGGATTCTTGTTGAAAACAGCATGTCCAGTTGCTACTTTGATACTATATAGATACCTCAGTAGACCTCTCTCAGATTTGTTTATTTTCTAATGATATCTTCAGTTCTTGTGCATTGCTAACATCGGCGCTAGCTCAGCCGAGAGGCTGCTTCGGCTGCTTGTTTGGTCACCAGTGATTAACGGTACAGTCCTTGAAAAAGACGGTCTTTTGTGAAGTTCCCTGTGAATTCAATCACGAAATACAGACCAACAACTAACACGATGCTACCTGGGACACGGCATCGCGTAGACCGACTCACGCGTAACATTCCTTCGTTGTAGCCAGAAACGCCCTCTAGGGCCATCAAAACATCAATTTCCGCCTATACTACAATACAGTAAATGTCCCTCTGGCCTAATGAATTTTCCAACTAAAATGATTTAATCAAATGTCAGAATGCTGCATGGCGTTCGTATTTCGCAAATGCATTACATTAAATTTTAGTTAAAAAAGCATTAGGCCACAGGGATTGTCGACAATGCACTAAATGTTTAATCATTCAACAAAACTTGGTTTTCAGTCATTTTTTAGGATGGCGTTTCTGTAAAGAATTTTGCCTTTTCCCTCTCTATATCTTTTTTTTGATAAAGAGAATGTCATGCCAATAAGATTTATTTTCAAATGAATGCTATTATTATAATGTTGGAAAATAAGTAAAAAAAAAACAAAAAACAATTTCATCACGTCACGGTTACTAGAAGAATCTTCTAGTAGCCGTGACCCCCTTAACAGAAGAGGGCAAGGAGGGATAGTTGGTACAGTCTACAAGAAATAAAATGTTTACGTTTTTACAGGAAATAAAATAAAAGTTCCATTTACAGTAAAAAAAAATAGGTTTTAATTACTGAATTCCTAATTACATTTTCCATTTTTATGATATTTTTGATAATTGAGTTTTAGAATCAAATTTGGACATTCAATTTGGAAAATGCTTTATACGCTTACAACAAATAATATCTTTGTACAAATTACAGACGAATAAAATACCTGATTACATTTTACAACTTGCCCATGTCTACGACTTCACGTTTTTTATTTATTTAAATTACATTATTACGAAAATAAAAACAATTGATTACAGCTTACGAAAACACCCCCTTGCCGACCCTCTTACAAACAACCATGCAACTATGCGCAGCCTGGCGCAACTCAGTGGGCGTTTGTTGGGCAAATTTTCCGGAAGCAGTGCATTGTGGGATATAACAAATCAGGTGACATTACGTAGCGATGGGAGTCACATGATTTACATATTTAGAGTCAACGGGCAGTCTCGTCTTAGCTAAATATTTCTTGTTTTCTACTAAATCGTCTAATTTAGGTAAGTTGAAAATGATTTAATTTTCAAACCTGGTTATCAAACTGATGTACGAATGAGTTATTTCGAAGGAATCAACATTTAACCGGATTTTTTTTCGATTTTCAGTGTTTCAATAAAACGAAGCCATCGCATGATATCGTGAGTACAGTTATTACATTATGTTGACGCCCCGGAATTTACTCCTAATATCAAATGTTCATTTCATAAAATTATCAGTACTTGAACACTAATTTCTAATGAAAAAACCTTGCAATCGTTTTTTTCTCTTGTAATATTTATCACGAAATTATGAATTTCATCGTCAAGAAAATAGTGAAAGTACTGAAACGAAATTGAAACCGCCTGTGTTCATGTCCGTCTTTCGGTATCGTAACCCCGGCAGTCATATGGTCACCTGACCAGGTGTAACGTAAGGTAGACTACATGGCACGTTATTACATAATTCTTAATTAATTTATGATCACTTTTCTTCAGTTGTGTCTGGCAATAAAAATACAATAATGTATTTATATTAACGCTTTTGGAGATTAAAGCTGGCAGACAGTTTTATGAGAACACACTTGAGGAAAAAAAATATTGTATTTTACTTCTTTATATATATACATGTACAATCATTTTGAAGATCGATGGTTAACCTTTTCAGCACCAGTTCCCTCTTTTCATCACAAATGCACAAAATAATTCAGTTTATAGTCCTTTTTTTTCCCTTCAGAATATTGACTGAAAATTGACACAAATTTTGTTTTTTGGCTCCATAATTAGAGCTAAATTTCTAGAAATGTTGAAGAATATAAGAACAAAATTGCAGGAAAATTTGGGCAAGAAAATCTGGTTCTGTATTACACTGATTACTGTAAACCACTTTAATTTTGCGAAAAAAATTCTTGAACCTGTGAAAATTGCAAAATTTGTTAGCAGTGACATTTTTTGACTTTCACAAAATTTTGTTTCCACAAATGTCATAAAATTGTAAAAAAACTGTTCACAGTATGTGTACCACCTGTGAGTTTTGTTAAGACCAATAAAATATTCTATTTGTCTGTTTTTGCTTTAACACTATAGAATCGGAGTCAGTTATGTATACACACCTGTTATTAAATATATTAGAAAACTAAAAAAAATCTCCAATATATAGCACTTTATGTAAGTACGATTCAAACAATTTCAATTCTTTTTGATATATATATGCGAGGCATATAAGCAGACATCCTATGACTAACTACAAACCAGTTGACCACTGAGTCACAGATGTAAATTTTCTTTGAGGCTCATAAAGGAGATGAGATACTATATCAGGACAATCAGGGTGGGATTCCACACCTGTGAAAATGGCTCGGGGGTGTGCTATGCTGAAAACTAAAGGCAACACCCCCTTCTGTATACTCACTCAATAATTGGTCACTCATTTCTCATTAATTTTTGCCCAGATTTCTCTTAAATTTTGTTACAAAACAAAACAAAAAAACTTAATTCTAGATGCAGAATGAGAAGATAGACACCTACTTCAAGGGTTAAAATTGGCGATAGTCTGGCTGTAACTGTCCCGCCTGATTCTTGTGTGGAACATGTTTATATTTAATTTATTTCAAAATCATCTAATATTGTACTTCACTTAAAACCTATGGGGCATCTTGATATCGAATACATTCAAAATTGACAGTGTTATATTGGAATCACATACTTTTTTTAATAACAATTTATTTTTTATGGCTGTGTCATGTGAAACAAATACAAATTTGTGGTCAGGGTCTTATACATGTTACAAATATACTGGGGTTTTATCCTTTGAATTTCACAACTTTTGCTATCTCTCACAAAATATTCTTCATCATGAGTGATTCATTTGGGCAAAAGAAAAAATGAAAAAAGACTCAGCAGTACTTTTAAGAGAGCTATTTTTCACGTTCAGCTATTTTCAAAAGGCCTGAAAGTGGTTGTCCTGGACAATCAGACAATTGTCAATTTCCACCTTAAATTGTATGTAGCTTGTGATGAAATTTGTGTTTGCTTTTATTTCAGAAATAATGAGATTACATAACCAAGAAAGATGACAAGTAAAAAGAAGAAGGGTTTCCATGTCGACGAGTCAGAACTCCTATGCAAGAATGGGTGCGGTTACTATGGAAACCCAGGATGGCAAGGATTTTGTTCCAAATGTTATAGAGAAGTCTACCAGAAAGCCAAAGATGCTCAACTCGAAAGTGATTCTCTGAGAAAACAGAGGTAATTATTAACATATTAACTCAAAAAGAAATAAATTGAAACAAGAATTTGGAAATCTAATTTTTGGGGAACAGAGTATTAATATGCACCGAATATGTTAATATATGAATTACTTATATGTAATTTTTTTAAGAATGTTTAACAATACATCAATAATAATTATATAATATGAGTTTTTTATTCCATCTCACCAAGTACAGTTCTGAAATATGAGAAACGATCTGTAATGTAAAAATGACAGTTTTGACAAGTTCCATAACATTTCTGACTCTTGTTTTTTGCAAAACTGTCTGATGACCTCAATTCTTTTTTCATTTTCGGTCTCCTAATCGGTAATCCTGGTACATTTCCAAAATTCTCAGATCAAGGCACCCTCCTGTGATCGAACTTCTTCAGTATGTTTTAATCAAGTTTTGCTACTGTGTACCATTGCATTATTTAGTAGAACATTAATGGTGTAAAACACTGTTAAAATGATAAACTTTGAATGTCTTTTGATCGGCTTCCTATAGACTTGCAGCACTGCAAGGACCAGCAGTCACTGCCAATGGGGAAACTACTTTGAAGTTCAACAAATTTGAGGAGAAAAGGAAGCAACACCAAGCTCCAAAAGCTAAAACGGTCAAGACTTTATTTAAGAAAGGATCCGCAAGTCCTAATAAAGGTAAAGAATGGGGATA